ATTACTTCAGCACAGTGGCTTTCAAGCAGGGGTGATGCTGTCCTTCAAAGGACATCTGGCAATGTCTGGAGACATTTCTGGTTGTCACAACTAGGGTATGCTACTAGCATCTAGTGAGTAGAGGCCCAGAGGCTGCCACCTATTCTACAATGAACAGGACAGCTCCCCAAACAAGTTCTCTGACCCAAAATGTTAATAGTGACGAGATGGAGAAACCTTGTTTTATCAATATACAAACAATAATAAAGTCTAGAACAATGATGACCCACTTACTAAATAAGCTACGCATGATAATTTTTAGATATCTGATTAATTCCTTTAAAATACTTGAAAGGCTGTCACTAGATTTTTCACTTCTTAAAATACCACCAACCCATAAAGGTCTTGATAACAGTTTCTGTAGATAAGTCTTTTTTAAAAAGTCTTTGAGCCACATAAAACAGAATCTACTACAACTATAGAAATCACAAAACAAAAAAATGTAAACTTACTGCTAAGCCCATCAACATATTTTCACCCACTGAGATTTGAATTCTCAGTCCAAACAAAGCATTCATTCCTTTGAGTTTTAATTTATTCATTAGCTGAGTATGTACTTCATATTCCATGAATGGTAACAGATTACTGATAGCTGTAGCATTTGCTTCTGCCTGTGCTTTCTTTTTTAAGCGACATAACCTGTTAAGAAAAATAATTTAATCAGTGGACTGTATTCTTGGTAGCATCTTAAGAAATGTCTAGTTTTTAAAACTTCCCAAAAGTATGCTTGATTTTAAAATATTTACTTCTTTCAAAGGACTGAAGTTATAACAATCTTTTCTGTCACTGAATAACCTTTCATTGAAAGTCATATTTAAACAAATAAAAGTGAAAAACCTCAAAATCTTGAGAAATTAAATACATACTGACTAGAATCACTAAAGAGTATAATTTAAAATCTTGGGTTTCATAACTGCACTTAAGGACAGCTGTGTAAAAAAGCTGATGCACTCATTTAAAAAATACAGAAGTTGCTTGAGCAGTACCATGTACCAGGCACTGCTGTAGGTGATGAGCGCTAATGAGTGAACAAAACACAAAATCCTGCCCTCATGGTTACACTCCAGTTGAGTGGGTTGGGAGTAAACAAGAAACAAAGCAATCTCAGATTATTCAAGAGTCAGGTGTCTGAAGAAAATAAACTAGGTAAAGTGAGTGGGAATAACTAGAGAGAAAGGCTCATTGAGAAGATAGCGGCTGAGCTGAGATCCAAAGGACATGCTGGAGCTGAGAG